TGCTAAAATGGCTAAATATGCGTGCGGCCCCTCATTAATCTACGTGCTGTGCAAGTGGATCTTCACTCAGAGAAGTTATACATTCATACTATACTATTGCCATATTTAAGATAAGAAATTTGACAAACAATCCAGACAAATATATTTAGATATTATTACTTAAAACGATTAAAACAAACAAACAAAACATTTCCTATAATAAAAAGTTATCGTTTGATAACAATAAAATACTGATCATAAGTTAGATTTAAAATGAACGAGAAAACATATTACACGCACGGTGGGTAGCCACATCTTTCAACAAAAAATAAGCACCTTTTAAATACTTTTCAAGCACTCAAAAAGTATTTTTAAGCACTATATACACAAACATAATGCGAAATAATTTTCAAAGACTTCACATGATCATGATAAATAAACTAGTTTCTGACAAAGAACCTTTTTCTTCATTATATTAGCTATCATAAAATGATCAAGTTATTTTTCGGTTCGATTTCAGAGGTTGGAAAATGAAGTCTGAAATTGAGAAAATCTTGCAAAATGCAGCAGAGTTTTACACGAGAGTGCTGGAATCTTATCGAACCCAGCGCACATGCGGACTCACAAGTATTTCATCAAACATGTAAAATGATGGCCGCTTTCATACGCAATGGACCAACGGTATGCCGAAATAGATTGTTGAATGAATTGGGAAAACGTTGAATAGAACTGTATGTGAAAAGCACACTTTTGCATACTACATGGCGAAAATCGACATGGTAAAAAAAAAAAAACTCTTTTTCGAAAAGGGCAAATTAAGCACTTTTTAAAAACATCCAATGAAAGAAGTACCTTTAAGGGCTTTTAAAAAACAATTATTGAAAATAAGCACCTTTAAGCACTTTTTAAAGATGCTTCGCACCATGTATTAAGTTGTTGAGATTTTTATTCCAATTAATACTTGTCATTAAACTTTTATTAATAAATAAGGATATCAACATATTAAGTTGTTAAAATCTTTATTCCAATTAATACTTGTCATTAAACTTTTACTTATACATAAGGATAACTGAAATCAGGGTTGGGTTTTTGCTGTCAAAAACTGGTTTTTGACATGGCAGTGGTAAAAACCGTCAAAAATCTACTGTTTTCTTTAATTTATGGCATATAGTGGACAATATATTATTTCCAAGTTAAAAGCTTTTATTCAGTTGAAAAAGCACATTAAACAAAACTTAATTACAAACAAAATTACATGTTCAGTAGTCGGGGTCACTGTGCCGAAGCATACGACAGCAAGTGACAAATTTTTTATTGCCCAGTCGATTTCTGAGTTTAGTATGGATGAGTCCAAAATTCGAGAAGATTTTTTCAATGGAAGACCACCAGTCTAGTTCCAAGAAAGCCTGTCATTGAGGATAATGATAACAAAAGGTTATTGCAATGTTGCAAGGAAAGTCTAAAAGGATTTTCCAGGCTTTTTCGTGTCTCATTTCTGTGTAAAATAGTGAAAACAAAAATTATACGAAAAGTTTATTTTATGAGGCTTTCTTATTATGTGTACATGCGTTTCTCAAAGCAAGATTTTATGAATGAAAGTAATCAATCTTGAAATTCTTCAGTAATGTAATATGCCAAACAAAATGATGCTTGGAAATGTTGAAAATTTTGTTTAGTATCCTAATATTTTACTTCAAATAGTATGTTTTGATATAATCATGTTCGGAAAATACGTGAATCTGTTCTTAAATATCTTTTAACAACTTTTTTTCTAATTTTATTGGCCAAAAATGAATTAATTTTAAATTATAAGCAGTTAAACTCAAATAAAAATACAGTTTTACCAAAACGATGGGTTTTTGACATGAGGGTAAAAACCATGGTAATAACCGTCATGCGTCAAAAACTTGCCAACCCTGGATAAAATGCTTCTAACAAAATGTTCAATCTCTGCTCCACTTCCGGTTACAAAGTATACAGCTGCTTATAATTCTGTGAGTTGATAATTTGGTTTAATATAAAAGAAATAAAATTAAGTAATTTATGAGCTAAAATTTGCTGTATTTCATAAGATAGCTATTAAGTAATTCTGGTGAAATGAAAATTTGTTTTAGTTATTTAGAGAGGTATTGTTAAAAAAGGTGAAATGGTTACTAAATTTAGAAAGAACTCGTTTTTTTAGGCCTAGTTTTACTTGTATATTCTTGGTGCAAGCCATCGTATGTTAGCATATTTTGTTTGAGCAGCAAGATTAAGTTCAAAATTCTACAAAAAAAAATTTAAAGAACATAATATTTAAATAGAATAAAGGGAAAATTTCCTTAGTCTTAAAAAATATTAGCCAAGTCTCGGGAACTACCGAGCAGAGGAATGCAAGAAACTAATAAAAAAAACATCACAGAAAGGGATCAACTAGCAACCACCGCTGCGCAAACATCTATATGCTTTTTTTCTAACAAAAATATTTGATCGCTATCTGAACGCGATACGGAATCATCCCCTGAAGAATAAGAATTCATCTTTTAAGATTCTCCCTTTTAATCATTACAATTATAGAAACAAAACTAACATATTTAGGGAATGTCAAATACTATTACCTAATGTAGGGGTGCACAACCTTTTTGAGTGAAGGGCCACTTTCAAAGCAGGTAGATTAATGAAGAGCCGAAATCATATTTAGTCATGTTAGCAGCAAAAGCAAATATACGTTTTGTATAAACATTAGTGTTCTAAGCACTAAATATTTTTATCAGTAAACTTAATAGCCTATTTGAAGAAAATTAAATACTTTTAATTATTTAAAACTAAAAAATAAAATATAAAAAAAACTTTTTCCATTTTTCACAATAATTAATTTATCATAAATATTGCAGGGATATAAATTTTAACCAAAAAGAAGCTTACAGAATGAATGTGCAAAAAATATAAGCAATTTTTATAGAGTAATGTAAATTTGAATTAAATATTTTAATTAAAGAAAATGTTTAAACAAAAACAACATTCAGAAGCACATCCCTAACCTTTTGTGAGCTGGTGACAATCTAATAGCCTACATAATATATCTATATAATATATCTATATAATATACATATATAATATATCTATATAATATACATATATAATATATCTATATCATATATATATACTGGGGTCTGTCTAGGTTTTTCTGAGAGGTACCTATTTTGTGAAAATTAAAAATTATATCAAAAAAATCAGCACAAAAATATGGATTTATCCTTTTGTATGGGATACAGAAATAAAATTTTAAGAAAGAGTATTTTGTGAAACTACCTTTTTTCCTAAACTTGAATTTGTGAAGGTACAGCTAAACGGTAGTAAATTTGGCCAGGACAGATCCCTGATATATATATGTATATAATACCTATATCTAATAGCCACATGGCAGAACTTCACATAATTCTTGTAGAAAGGTTTTTCTTTTGTAAAGAAAAAATTTTAATGTTCTTTTCTGCAGAAATTTGCACGTAAAATTTGAACCATGCATTTAGAAAATCTCGTTTTGACAAGCTCAATTTACGCCGTTAGTATTGTTTATCGAAGCAGTAGTTTAATTATATTTTCGGCAGTTATTGATTTTTAATATTTCAGACGACAGGGGAAATTCGAATCATCCATTCCAGTATAAATTTTTAAGGCTTTATTGGCTCAAGTATGAACTTCTTTTGGCAATTATTGGTCTTGACTTCCATATAGTTTTAAAATACGATATTATTCATTACAACAATCAAATCTTGAAATGAAACACGTATCTGAGCAACCCCTTTTTAAAGAGTCCGATTCGCGTGATTTTGTCGTCGATCTGTTTTTCGGTAGTTACTGCTACTGATTTCACAATTTTTACTGTTCTTTTTTTTAAGTGATGATTTACAAAAGGCAATAAAGGAAATAATTAGTGCCTTTTCCCCCTAACAAAACGCAACAATATCGCCCATAATATTAGAATAACAGAAAGTATACTGTCCTTTTTGTAAATGCAGCATTTTTGTTACTTTAAATTAGTTACTCTTAAAATAATTAGTAATCAAATTAGGAACTCATAAAATAATATAAAAATATAGGTAAAACATGGAAAATATTAAAGATTAATGAAAAGAGAAGATGAAAAAAAAATTATGAAAATAAAATAGTTAAAAAAAAAATAGTGTTTAAAAGCTAGAAAACAAATAAATTAAAAGATATAATCTGTTCATGAGCTCACAGGATTATATCCTCAGAAAGGAGTTTTTTAGAAAGCACTTGCAAATATAATATGAGCTGATGAAGAGATTACGCCTTTTCATTTTTTGGCTTTTTAATATTTATTTTCTTAATATAAATTTTTTTAATATTTATATGGACAATATTAAAAAAATAAATAAAAAATCAATATTAAAAAGTCAAAAAACAAAAAATGAAAAGACATAATCTCTTCATCAGCTCATGCTCATATTATATCTGCAAAATGGAGTGTTTTCTAAAGAACTTCTTTTTGAGGATATAATCCTGTGAGCTCATGAACAGATTATATCTTTTAATTTGTTTTGTAGCTTTTAAACACTATTTTTTTTTTAAATATTTTATTTTCATAATTCTTTTTTCATCTTCTCTTTTCATTAATCTTTAATATTTTCCATGTTTTACCTATTTTTTTAAAAACTTATTTTATGAGTTCGATATGATTGCTGCTAATGCACAGAAAATAAAACTTATTATTATGCAGTAAATTAAAATATTAAATATTCAATGAAAATAATTAGTTTCTTTTTGTAAACATAGCGTTTTTGTTACTTTAAATTAGTAACATACATCTTTGTTAATAATGAAAGTATGAAAGATATTAGTGATAGAATATTTCATCAAGAAATTCTGCCACAGTTTAGAAGAGGGTGGCTATTCCCTTAGAGTAGGTTCCCTTTTGAGCATTTTTTTCCTTTATTAGTTTCTTACGAAGGACTACCATGTTCTCAGAAATTTGGCTATCTTTTTACGCATATTTAATAAAATTCATCAACATTCAATACCTTTTCACGGTACACATCTACTAGCTCTTTCATTCTTGTATGAGGTAAAGAAAATACATCGATTTCTTCAGGATAAGGAGCCATTTTTCTGAATTTAAACGAATAAAGTCATTTATAACTTATTTATTGTAGTCAGTGTAGTTATTTTTATTCTTAACAAAATAGAAAAATTTCTATCTTTCAAGAGTTATCGATACTTCAGTATCAAAACAATAACAGAAGAGAAGAGAGATTAAAAGTTGCCATTTCTTCAAGTTAAATAAAAAGAACCCTGGTTGACCGAGTTTTTACATAATGTAAAGCAAAGCACAGATGGCGCTACAAAATAAAATTTGTCATAAGACTTCTGAGTTAATACTTCCTATTTAATTTTACGCCTAAACTTGAAAAAGCTCGCTATCCAATATTATTATATAATCAGTGTTTACAACATAACGAGTTCTTTCAATTGAAATTTCAACGAAACAAACAAAGGAATTCGGAAGACTTTGCAGGCATGCTATAATGCAACCCAAACGGTACTATACGAAGAAGACTTTCTTAAAGTGGCTAATAGTGAAGCATCAAGTCAATGAGGTTATTAATGGTGGGATATCAAAACAATAACAGAATAATGGCTGGGGTATTCTGTCTCACTCCTCTAGATGAGTTCTTCCCAGTTCTTGAAGGGTTTGTCGGGGGTGGTAGGCGTCCAGCAATTGGTATGCCTAGAATGTCCCAGACATGCTCGATAGGGTTCACGTCCGGAGAACACGCTGGACAATCCATTTGCACGAATCCTTCCTCCAAAAGAAAATCATCAAGATGTGGCCTGCAATTATCGTCCATTAACGCAAAGCCATCTCAAAATGCTGCAGCGTAAGGGACTACATTAGGTCTCCAAATCTCATCCTTATATCGGCGACCGGTCAGAGCTCCATTTTGAATTAGTTGAGATCAGTGCGCCCATCAGTTGACATGCCAGTTTAGACCATCACACCCCCACAGTCAAATATTACAGTTTCGTGCATGAACGCAGGATTGCTTCTAGTGCCATCCCAGAAAGCATGTAACCTTACGACAA